GTATTGGTACCTGTATGGTACGGTACATGTACTCATGCAATACAAATCAAATTGGCAGGTGGATTTTCTAATTCAGCAGATCAAACAGATGAATCCATCACAAGTCACTGAAAGTCCACCACCGCAGCTCCATTACAGGTGATCCTAGCATGCCGCAAGTCAAGTCACAAGCTATTCTGAAATGAACTGTGACGACAAAGTCTTCATCTGTAAGTGGTATTCACCCAGGCACAATTTGTGACTCAACTTTTGTACTGGGATGATCCACAAGTACAGTACAATGCACTGTTACTTCAACATTGGCACAGACATGGAGTGGCATTATGCACAACAAACCCCACCTGACATGTAGATCCCTGATCACATCAATGAACGAAAAAGTTCTATTCTACGATGCCTGTTGAATAGAAAAAAACAGGCTTTACACTAGATACACTTTCTTATATTTACAGACTATTTGTTCAAAGCGGAACAAAAGAGGGTGTTTTTTATATACTCATCGCATAGGCACGCATTTATAATGGAGATCAGTGGCACGTTTGATGTGGAGCACGCTGAGTACGCGTAATGAATTTATTCCTCAATGTAAGGAACGCATGCAATGCAGAACGCATGCAAGAATCTGCTTGGAAAACGTACAACCATCTGTCTTTCCTTTGCTGCTTGGGGGTGCACTTCAACTCAGGGAGGATTTAAAAACTGTCAAACTTTTATGCATACCCTGTATTAGCTTTTCTACAATTTCAAGCCCAGATTTAGAAAAAAACAGAAGAACTGGCACAAAGAACTAGTGTACATTCACCTCTAGTCTCATTAAAAAAACACGCCACTACCCACTTCCACCATAATTAGAAAACTTGTCAACTTACAAGTCACATGTAAACGGCATTAATGACAAGGACCCTTAATTCCCCTCCTTTCTCTTGAACAAACACCCTTGGAAACTTGGAAGAGAAACCATTTTTTATTTGGCACAATGCTACGCTTTGGGTTCATCTACATGTACTGTACATGTACAAGCAGTGGTACATGTACATGTACAATATATAATTCATTCATTTCAGTGCCAACACACCTCAGATTTACCCCAACATAAAATTTATAGTAAGGACCTCAGGACATTCAATGTATAAACACACTGTACATGTATAATACACAACGTACAGTGTACATTATACAATACATCCATCCATAGTCATCTGGCACGTTGTATAACAGACGTACTGTAGTCTCCCTGATGTGGGGGATTCAACCGGTAAAAGTTTACTCCTTTTCTAATTGCATCAAAAGAATAGAAATGTATAATGTACGTGAATGTTCTGTCTTTCTATCAATCATATTGTTTTACGTGTATATGTACCATGACAGTACATGTAAACCTCTACCATACATGTACATTGTACATGTACTGTACATGACAAACTTTTTTGGGGGGGGGGTTCCCCTCCTGATGTTCCCTGTATAAAACTGCTGCAGTAACAATATATTGCACCCAATGCCACCCTAACTACCATGACTCCTGCACTGCACCCATGCATGGTGCTATACATTTTCCGACTTTTTGCTGACTTACCGGTACCATGGTCCATGTACATGTATCTGCAATACTCTGTAGACATGACCTTTAATCCCAGAGTGACTGGTGACTATTTTTTAATTGGGGTACCCGTAAACTGAAGCACCATCACTGTCAATGGGCGCAAAGTGTATGCAATTTATTACTCCAACAGGTTACAATGGAACAAAACGTACCACCACACGAAGCATGTAGCATACAGGTACGGTACCTACATGTATATGCTGGGAGGAGTGAAGTTGTAACTATTATTTGGTAGCGGGGAGGGGAGGTCAATGCACGATGTGCACACAAACAGCATGGAATTAAATATCGACAATGTTGTCTACTGTAACACCAAGTTTACACAAGATCTGGCGATGGAGATCTGGTAACGCAAGGAGGATCACAGGAGGATCAACAGCAAACAATGGGAGGTGGATCAGGGTCTGACCTGGATCAACAACAAACCGTTCACAATGGGAGGTGGATCAGGGTCTGATCTGGATCAACAAACTGTTAATGAGAGGTGGATCAGGGTCTGACCTGGATCAACAAACTGTTAAAGGGAGGTGGATCAGGGTCTGACCTGG